ATGTTCGTACGAACCCTTTGTACGAACAAAAGTAAGAGAAATTTAGGAGAAGAATACGAACATGTTCTTGCATGAGGCCCATTGAGCTGAAATGTGGTGCGGTAGTAGCTGACAGTTATCCCTGACATGTACTTCAAGTGTTCACTGATTATTCTCAGGATTAGGAGCTTAGATTGGACCTGATGTTCTCTCAGGTCGTCGTGCTCTTTTAGCTTTAGAGACGACTTGCAGCTCAGCTCAGAACGGGACTTTTTTACTTCCCTCACGACTCAAAACGTTCCATCTGACCTGGTTCTGAAACCCGACAGCAGAGAGCGTCACATTTACAGCTCAGTTTAGACTAAATTAATTAAAAATATAATTACAAATATTCCAAAGACTAAATGAAGCTGAAAAAGGAAGCTAGTTTCAGGTTATTTTTTTTATTTTTTTGTAGAAACAGGTTAAAACCTGCTGAGCTGTTGTGGTTACAGCTGTGGAGCTGAGGCTCAACGCTTTTGGTCTTTTTCTCTCAACTCTTCTGTTGGTGTGTGAAACTCTCTGTTCCCTTTTAAGGGGCTATGCAAAGCTTTTAACACGACTTTTAAAGACACAACTGATCATTTATGAGACGGTGAAACCCGGAGAGAGGAGAGGAGCAAAAACTGAAAATGATTTAGGAGCAACATAAATCTGAAGAACCTCTTTAGTTCTCAGATCTGAACTAGAACACGTAAAACATCTAAAACCTCAGAATTTTACTTCCTGTTTTATATTATTTTACAAAATGTTCACAAAGAAATGTTAAAGCTGCAACTCATTACTGTCATCAACACCAGTGTCTGTCAGCGCTCCTAATAAGACAGGCAGCCTCAAACTGTCAGAAATGTTTTCTGTTGGCTTTGAAGGAAAAACTGAGCTCAGGTTTAAAGGAATTTGACGGGAGTTTGGAGGAGTTCACGCTGATCTTTGAGGAGATTTGAGAGAAAACTGTAAATATTAAAGGTTTCAGAGTCCCGCTGGGTGAAAGAAGACAAAAAAAACTAGACATGGGTTTTTACGATATAAAAACAAGTGTGCATTGCCATGTAGCATGTCATTGCAGCATGGCTTTGCCTGTAGCATTGGACTTGCAGAATGAACTTTGACCAAGTTCAAATGTGTTTTCTATACCAGCTTGTGCCTGTCACRTCAGCAGGTGTTTAGAATTAAGGTAATTGTGTGACAATATGAAGTTTGAAGAGATTTTTTGTTTAAGTTGCATTAGCCGGGTTTTGAACCCTGATCTCCCACATGAAAGTCCATGACATAGACCATTAGACCAATAGACCTGTGGCAGATGATGGTGCCAGGGGTTGGTTTGTATGTGTACAGAAAGAGGCCACATTGCCAATACAATTATTGACACAAAAATGCATAATATTACAACAATCGAGCAGTATTAAGACAATATTATAGTAAAACATCAAAATACAATCATATTAGTATTGTAAACACTTAACTACTGAGTTGAAATATTAAACTATGGTGCAGTACCAAGTTGGGTACAGCATGGGGCAGTATTGGACCAATTCAAGGCTCCACTGACTGCCATTATAATTCATTAAACATTAATATTTCATAAACAATAAGTTTTACAGGCACCAAAAGGCATAGCCATCATTTGGCACGGGAGCTTTACAGATATAAATGACAATGGCAGCTCTGGGACAAAGTATGCAGGAGGAGAAGCATGGCAAAGTTGAGATGACTTGGATGGGAAACGAATCACAATAGTGTGCATTGCATTGGCAATACACACTGATTAATGTTTGGATGGATCATCTGTGAGAAATGTGCGACTTGTTGAGGATTTAGAAGAGTTTATTTATAAAACAACAGCTCAAAGGTTAAAGAGTGACTCTTTAGACTGAACTGCTGACTCTGAACTAAACCTCATCTTTGAGGAAATCCTCTACAATAGAAATGTAAATCAAAAATTATAATTTAATGCAGTGTTTCCCAAAGTTGGGGTCGGGACCCAAAGTGGGGTCCCGAAACATCAAGGTGGGGTCCTGAAA